ATGCCTCTTGATACTAAGAAAATTTGAGGCACTGGGAGCTCTGCGAAGAATATAAACTGTCTGGTAGCACAAGGACTTAAAAAGTTTGAGATATTGAAATACAGGACTGGAAGAGTAGTGCTGGGGCAGCAGTGAGGAAATGGAAATGAACAGAGGAAGAAATGACCAAAAGAGATGGAAACTCACTCTTAGTTTCATCCCCAACCACTGGTGAAGGCTGTGTATGTTCCATGGAGTCCAGAGGAAGAGCTTTTTCTATGGAGCCAAAACTCCTGGGCAGGTGTGTCCTAGGTGAGCCTCTTGGAAATGTGCTACTGCTCCATGATGGCCTGTGGAGGAAGAGTCTACCAGCAGGTGAGGAAGCAACAAGCCCCAGCAACTGCTCAGAACGCCGGAGCAGGCGGGTTCTGAGCTGCCCCAGCACCACACCAGTAACACGGGCATAGGGAAGTCTGGTGTTGGGCAGAGGATGTGTCTAGTGCATTGTTTCAGTCCAAGAGGAGTAATTCGATTTAGGCTGCTGTCCGTCAACACCGTAGCTCTGTCTGAGGCCCCAAAGATTTCTGGAGAACCTATAGCTGGTGGTGTCCTCCCACACAGCATCCTTAGGCAGGTACTCATCTCCTAATAAACCTGAGAAAGATTGAATAACTGACCACGCAGCCTGCAAGGTATGAAGAGTGGATTCTGTTACTTTCTGACTGCAGATTTGCCTGCATATCAAAAGCCAATGAAAACCATATCTTCCCTTTGTGTACCCTCTCCACTCCTCCTTCCTTTATTCCCTTTGCCATGAAGCTGAGTTATTTGGAGACAAACTCATTTTGACGCAAACTTTTACATACTGCTTGTATTAAAAGCTATTTAAATACCACTTAAAGCCAGTTTATAGGATAGTTGCAGATTATTCTTGGAAATAACTTCTTTTCAAGGCTGCTGGCTTCCCACTGTTAGTGCAATATAATTTTTAAATCTTTTAAATACATAATCGGTTGTCCCATTTCTTCCATGCACCCGTTGTTTCCTCTTTAAAGGGAACAATTTCAACTGTTTTTCATCAAAAGTCTTACTATTTTCTCCACCCTTCAGAAAATCTGTCAAGAGTAGGCAATTTCAATAGAATCTAAGTACAGCTCTTGTCGTCCAAATAGTAAGTCCTACTGATTGCTGTTGAACACTTTAAGATTACTTCACTAATATCTTCATTTTGTTTGTATAGTCTCCCATCTACATAAAAGACTTACATAAAAATAAACAGCACAGACAATAGCCCGCTTGGCTTTCCGAAATGTTCTGTATAGACCAGTTATGCTGCTCTGGAGAAAACAGGTGTGTGGTCACTGTTAGAAAGAAAAAAATATGCAAGCCGTTAGATATTTTTCAAGTACCTGTAGATGTGGGGGCTGCTAGACTAATTAGTTCAGCATTCCCATGGCAGAGTGACAATATCGAAGGCGCGGAGTTATTGTGGCCAAAACCAGGCTGGTTTCCCACATTTGGTGCATTGTTCATTTACTGCCTCAGATTACCCCACGCTTCAATATAGCTGAATCCATGGAAAAGCATGTCATGAAAAATCGCTGTATTTGAGTGAGTTTTCTAGTCAAGATTAATTGGGTTTTCTTCCAAACACCAGCACAGACAGCAACACAACGTAGGGCATTTGCGGTGCTCCACAGCCGTGTAACATCTGGAGGAACCTCCATGAATCAGTCCTTCCACTTCCCCTGCTTTTACCACTGCTACAGAAGCAACTCTGCAATTTAAGCCAATGCCCGATATTTCAAAGGGAGAAAGAGTGACAGGGACTAGTAAAACACGAGGGGTTTTTGTTTTTTTTTTTTGTGGTGGACAGATCTGTGACGGTTCCTCAGCCCTCTTGACACACTGCTGACCAAGGTGCTCGTTCTCGTCTCTCTGTGCACGTTTCCCTCGGGAGATGGCAGGCCCTGACAGAGGGCGATGAGGAGGGGGGAGCCCCGCCTGCACCCAGCCTGAGGGCTCCGGGCCGGGACAGGGAGAAGAGAGGGATCCCCGCGTGCGTCGGCTGAAAAACACCTTTGGGGATACGGATGCGTGAGGGCAGCGAAGGACCAGGCCCCGGGGCAGGTGCTGGGGCCC